TCAGCGATCAGCAAACTACCGACCCCTGATCCTACCTACTGCCTATTTTTGTAAATAAAATTTTATTGGAGCACAATTATGCTCATTTATTTATGTGTCTTCTGTGGCTGCTTTTATGCTACAGTGGTATAGTTGAAGTGGTGTAACAGATATCATATAACATATAAGGCCCCAAATATTTACTATCTGACCCTTTACAAACTCTTTACTATCTTCCAAAGCCTGCTTCATATATAGCAGATCTTTGAATAACCTCATTTCATTCAACATCATTTCATTATAATATTGATAAGGAAAGAAAGTCAATTCTTGGCCAGGACCACTGTCTGTGTGGAGTGCTCATATTCTCCCCATGTCTGCGTAGGTTTTCTCTGAGTACTCTAGTTTCCTAGCACAGCCAAAGATGTGCATGTTGGGTTGATTGGTGTGTCTAAATTGTCCCCGTATGACTGAGCTTGAGTGTGTGTGTAAGTGCACCTTGTGATGAAATGGCGTTCAGTCTAGGGTTGGTTCCTGCCTTGTTCCTGAGCTGCTGGAGTAGGCTCCCGTGATTCTGAACTGAAATAAGCAGGCTAGAAAATGGATGAATGAATGAATAATTGCAAATTATTATAAAGTAAAAATTTATAAAGTATACGATAATCATACAAACAAATGCATGACAGTAAATGATGCAATACAAAAGCCCACAGTTAGCCTGCCATGTTTGTGATTGTTTTTTAACTGCATGTGGTAGAGGATGCTCCTTACAGTTTCCCTTTGCAAACATTTATTCCTTGATTTAATCCACCACCACTATGACCACCATTACTTACGGATTCACCAAAAATTGGGTAAATAATTATCTTACTTGTTTTTATTAATCTTTTTAAAATCTATGCATAGCTCACATTTGTTTTAGTGTTTAATATTAGAAGAATTTGGGGTCTTTATTTAGAAGTTTGGTGATGTTTTTGTGACCAGGCATATGCCGTAGAAACTTAACTCTTGTTTATATCAATTTGCCTGTGGTGAAATTAGTTCTATTATACATTGTTTTGCCTAAAGTCCTAGTTTCCAAGAACATATTGACGATGTTAAGTGAGAACTTGCTGTAATTAATTTGAGATTTCTTTTTTCTAATGCAAGTATTTTACTGCTATATATTTCTCTCTAAGCATTGCTTTATCTGCATCCAATAAATTGTGATGTTGTATTTTCATTTTCTTTCAATTAAAAATATTTTCTGATTCCCCACAGCACTTCCTCTTTGATATATGGTTTTTTAGAAGTGTGTTGTAAAATGTTCAAATATTGGGGAATTTTTCAGATGTCTTTATGTTATTGATTTTTCTAGCTTATTCCATTATGTTTAGAGGGCGTATTTCATGTGATAGCAATTTAATTTATTAAAATGTGTTTTATGGCTTATTTAGTAAATGTCCCATGTACTCTTGACATAACTTTTGATTTATATATTTTGAAGCTCTGTTGTTAAGCATGTCTACACTAAGGGTTGTCATGCCTTTATCATATATATTGTCCTTCTTTATTCCTAATATTGCATTGGTCTGAACTTTCCTTCGTCAGATATTGATATGGCTGCTACAACTTTCTTTTGATTAGTGTCATATTTCTTCATCCTTTCACCTTTTTTTCAAGATAACTTTTGGAACACTTTCATCAACAGAATGGAAGTACACAAATGAATCTTGAAACCAGCTGGGTGCAATGGCTCACACCTATAATCCCAACACTTTGGGAGGCCAAGGCCGGCAGATCACTTGAGGTCAGCAGTTCGAGGTCAGCCTGGCCAACATGGTGAAAACCTGTCTCTACTAAAAATACAAAAATTAGCTGGGTGTGGTGGCACATGCCTGTAATCCCAGCCACTTGGGAGACTGAGGCAGGAGGGTCACTTGAACCCGGGAAGTGGTGGTTGCAGTGAGCTGAGATGGCACCACTGCACTCCAGCCTGGGAGACAGAGACTCTGTCTCAAAAAATAAATAAAATAAATAAAACCAGTGCATCAATGAGTAAGATCTAACACAAAAGTACCCATACCTCATGACAAAAATATAATCAGGTGGAGGAAGACAAAAGTCTAAGAGAATGGAGGAGATATGCATATGAGGAAGGAAGGACTCTGGGACTGAATTATCAGATGGACTCAGCAGATGTCTTTAAGTTTCACATACCCTGAGCCCCTAATCAGTGGTTTGAGACAAGCATTATATTTGGTCACAGTGGGTATATGCTATGTCCAGAATGGGAAGAAAGTTCAGAATCCTGTGGAGACTGTAGACACTTAACTCTATAATAATGAGGTGGAGGGTATGAGGATGCTAGAGCTCTAGGGAAGCTCTTTCTTTGTGTCATTAACCACACTGCAGCAAGATATGGTAAAAAGTTATTCAAGTTACTAGTTTAATGGAAGAGTCAGAGTGGCTACAGAAAAGCCTCCATGAAAACATCCAACTGGCATGGAGGAAATAAACATTCAGCCACTAGAGTAGTTATGGTGCCATGCTCAAGAGTTGGTGGACGAAAGGTGTTCTCTCTGATTGACTTATAAAAGACAATCTTTCTTCACATAGAGGACTAGAAGGTTCTATCAGTACTGACCTTTTCCTGTTTAGTCTTATATCTTGAAGCATCTCTGGGTTTACTGCTAGGATCATAGCAATCATCAGCTTCAGGTGTAGTTTTGTAATGGTGCCAAGTAGAGTTCTTAAAAACTGGACATCTCTCAAATGATTCACTTAAAACAGCCTTTAAATAAGTGACAGCATCAATACCCATTTATTCCATCACATAGTATTAGATCTCCTTAAAAATATATAGCACGCAGATGAAAAAAAAATGGTGACTTTTGACTGAATCCAGCCAAAGGGACAACTCTTATAGGCTATAGCTATGTCTATTAGAATTTGAATACATATAGTTTTAAAAAGATGCATTTTCAAAGTGAGTCACCACCACCTCGGTCACTTATCTTAATGAATAAATCTTTTCTTTTAACCCAAATGACAAGGGTTTTAACAGCCAAATATCTCTATTTTCTGTCTTCATGGAGTGCTACTGTTGTTCTCACTGAGTTCGTGAATTGCATGTGTAACAGATGTATAGGCATATAAACTACTTGAATAGGTTTGTCTGGAGCTTTGGCACTGACCTCTTCAACTTCCACCTCTGGAGCTACCAGCTAATACTATTCACACAGTCACTTGGCTGTTTCATATACATTGTTCACTACATCAGCCACATTACAGGTGAGATCACTATTTCTTCTGTGTTTAGAATGAGCAGGGATAGTGTCACCATCAAACAGAAGTGCGTGCTAGTTAATAAGCATGTGGGAAGAAATGGAGTTGGGATAAAACCATTCTGGAAGGTACTGGCAATACTACTAATAAAAGACTCAAACAAATAATTTTTCTTGTATTCAATCACTCCATGTACCACTATAGAAACCACATTTTTCTGACTTTCATCGGTACTTATTGAAAGTACTTATCTAAGACCTGTGGATCTTCAGATCTTCAGGGCTCTTATTTTTAAATTCTTTTTTTTTTTGAGATGGAATCTCGCTTTGTCGCCCAGGCTGGAGTGCAGTGACTCACTTGGCTCACTGCAAGCTCCACCTCCTGGGTTCATGCCATTCTCCTGCCTCAGCCTCCTGAGTAGCTGGGACTACAGGTGCCCGCCGCCATGCCCGGTTTATTTTTTTTTTTTTTGTATTTTTAGTAGAGACGGTGTTTCACCATGCTAGCCAGGATGGTCTCAATCTCCTGACCTCATGCTCTGCCCACCTCAGCCTCCCAAAGTGCTGGGATTACAGGCATGAGCCACTGTGCCTGGCCCTTATTTTTATATTCTAAAACTTCAAGAAAGTTCTGCATATACCAACTTTGAACCAATCCCACTGAAGGCCTGTTAAACCACTTACCCAGCAGAAAATTGGCTTCATTCACTGTGTTAGCTGGTAGCACAGGAATCTCCCTTTGTAAAATCATATATGATGTTCTCTCAAGCCCTTATCTCTCCCAAAGTCCAGGAACTTCTTGATGGAGAGTGATGACAGCAAGAGGCACAGATAGCAATTGATGTACTTGGGCACTGGCTGCTTTAGTAGCCACCAGTGTAGCCATAGCCTTGCCATGACAGTGCACAGACCTGCTTAGATGCCTGGGTGGACACGGGGGTCTATGCAGCCAGACCATTTGGACTAGGCGTGTTCTTCATGAGTGAACCCCTGTTTCAGTTTCAACCTCAGCCTTGGCCCATTGGTACAGCCACTTCAGCAGCTCCCAGGCTAAAGCTACTGCTCTTGGCTTCCCCAGGCCCTATCCATTCTTTTACTTTTAACTTATTTATGCTTTTACATTTAAAATAGTTTGTTATAAATAACATATAGTTTAATTTTGATTTTTACATCTAATCTGTCGAATCTATTCTTTTAGATGATATTTTAGACCACTTACATTTAATGTAATTGTTGATACAGCTAGTTATATTAAAATCTACCACCTTGCATGTTGTTTCTATTTGTTCAATCTCCTCTGTTTTGCTTTTCTCCTCTTTTTCTGTCTTCATTCATATTCATTCTTTTCTATGATTCCATTTTATATCCACTATTGGCTTATTAGTTATACCTTAAAAGCTTTTTTTGTTGTTCACCTTAGGGTTTATATGATACATTTTAATTAATCATGGTCTGCATCACAAGAAGAGTCATAATTTGCTTTTTATCAAGCCCCTACAGCTCTAGAACAATTATGACCTAAATATTAGTATCTAGATTCATTGCTATGATGGTACGTTCACTTCATAGTTCTTTTTTCATTATTTTATGAGCAAAATGTTTACAGGGAAAACATATGAAATTTGACATATAAATGCCAACAAAATAGTTGGAAAAGGAAAGGCTATCATTGTTGGTAATGTTCACGTATCCTTAAATTTCACCAACACGACATATGAAAAAATAGTTGATTATTTGCCTTTTGTTTTCAAACAGATATTGCAGCTGTAGAAGAATGGTTGGTAAGGATCACTTTACATCATGGACTAAATATTTATGCTACTGAAGGAACTCTATTGGATCGTATTCGAGGTAAATGCCAACAGACAGAAGTAAAATGGAATTCATATATTGTTTCAACAAACTTTGATGTCTGCTATATGCCAGATTCTGAGGTCCTAGAGATTAAAAAAAGAAAAAAAAGAGAGAGTCATGACCCTTGAGGCACTCACAATCTGATAGGACAAAGAATTAAATACACGTGGGTAAATTATTAACAGAGATCTGCAAAGAGTGCTATAGAAATATGGAAATACAGGCTGGGCAGGGTGGCTCACGCCTGTAATCCCAGCACTTTGGGAGGCCAAGGTGGGCAGATCACTTGAGGCCAGGAGTTTGAGACCAGCCTGGCCACCATGGTGAAACTCCATCTCTACTAAAAAAAAAAAAAAAAATACAAAAGTTAACCAGGTGTGATGATGCACACCTGTAGTCCTAGCTACTTGGGAGACTGAGGCAGGAGAATCGCTTGAACCCAGGAGGCAGAGGTTGCAGTGAGCCAAGATTGCACCAGTGTATTTCAGCCTGGGCAACAGAGTGAGACTGTGTCTCAAAAAAAAAAAAAGGAAATACATATTTTACTGTGGCCATATTGAGGGTCATTATAAACAATGGCATATAAAGTTGATTATATTTACTTATTCCAAAAAAGTATGTAGTTTTAAGTAGCTTCCAAAATTAAAAAAAAAAAACAAAACAGTGTTACTAATTGTCCAATAGTAATTACAATACTGTCTTTGGGACTCTGATAGTTTGGTATCCTATGCTACTTTTTAAGTACTGAAATATCAATATAAAATTGTTATATCAATTTTTAAAAGATCTGAAATCTGAATCATTTACAAATTGAGATGCACCTAAAATATTACATACTGTATTAAAATGCTAACTTACATTTGTTTAGAATGTACTGAGGTATAATTGCAACAAAAAGCTTCACAAATTGGTAGATCTTTGAAAGCACCAGGTGCAGAGATGAGATTGATCTGTTTGAAGAACTGAAAGGAGATTAGTGTTGCTGAAGCATAGTAAATGACAGAGTGGTGGATCATGAGTTTGGAGAAGCTGGCAGGGATCTTGGTAAAAAGTGTGGACTTTATTGTAATTATGATTTAGAGCCATTGGGATATTTTAAGCAGAGAAGTAATAAATTCTGATTTATCTTTTATAATGAAAAGATCATTTTGGCTGCTGTGTAGAGAATAACTCTTGAGGAAGGATAGCAAGAATGGAATAAAGGAAATTGGTAGCAGTTGTTGCAGTAGTCCCCCTTGAGAAGGTCTGGAGTAGATGGACAGTAGCATTAGCAGTGGAGGTGGTGAGCAGAGCCTTCAGAATACATTTTGAAAGTAGAGCTGCTATGGCTTCTTGGTGGACTAAGGTGGGGGAAAGCAGAAGTAACAAGGATGATGCCTGGATTTCTTACTCAAACATTCAAGTAGAGGATGTTGTCATTCACCAAAATGCTGAAGACAGGAGGAGCAGACACTGGGACATAGGAATCAAGAGTTAAAGCTAGAGTTAGAAATCTTTATTCACTCCTGAACTCAAAAGAGAGTGTAAAACCTTGTCTCTATTTCTTTATATCCAATCCACACCCCAAACCACTCATTTATTTCCATCTCCTCCACGCTACTCAAACTGCTGCTAATCATAGTCACCAGTGACCTTCATAGAGGTCACTTTTCTGTCCCCTTTTTAGCTTCTTAGTAGCTGTCAAAACTTTTAATCACTTCTTTGTTCTTAAAATGCTTAAGATTTTACTACCTGACTTCAGGAGCTTGTATATAAGTAGGGGGGCATTGTCAGCTCAGTGATGTCCAGTGGTAGGCTGAAATCTCCCTGACCTGGGTGTGAATGGTCTGCAAACACATACTACACCCTTTGCCCCACATTTCTTTGAATTCTGGAATGACTTCCTGGTGAATTAGTGTAGTTAGAGATTGTGTCTTTTTCCCTTCTTGGCTGTCCCTGTGCTGCACTATGTCTACCCTGATGAAAAGTTAGCTTCTTGCTTTGCACAAAGTGAAAAAAATATCACACAAAGTCTTTGGGTTTGTAGCAGATTTTGTTGAAAGGTGGGGAGACAGAGGAGAATGTAAATAGCTAAATAACTGGTTATTAGTTATCTCTGCTCTTAAAAGTGCTTTGACTATTTTTGAAATTCACATAGCAGTAGTCTTTCAAATTGCCCTGGCTTACTTTTTGTACTCTTTTTTTTTTTCTCATTTTTTTCCAAAAGAAAAAAAAAACCCTCCCTTTTTTTAATGCATGAAAATTCGACTTTAGATCCAATCCTTTGCATATCCAAAAGTAATATTTTAAGTTTTAAAATTTGTGAAGCCTTGTCTGATGATGTTCTTTCAAAAGGCTCATTGTCTACCCTGGTCTGGTGAGGAAGAGTGTACCCTGATTCTTCTACTTACAGTGAGTGCAGAGTCCTATTGGAGCACCTGGGAGGAGAGCCTCACTCATTCTAGGGCATCATGGAAGGCTTCCCAAAGAGGGAGACATTCACATCGAGGACTGAAAAATAGGGTTGTGAGAAAAACAGATATTTAAAGCCCCATGAACTAGAGCCTCTAGTGGGAGGGCAGTTCTGGCAAGAAGTAAAGCTGAGGAACCAAGAGGACGTTAGATTCTGGAAGGCCTGGTTTGCCACGTGAAAGACCTTATTCGCCACTAGTGCTACTATCCTGCCTGTGCTGCATTGGAGATGCCTCACCTCTGATTGCTTTTTCTTCTGCATCTCATTTGCAACTTCTATCTTGCAGAAATCCTTCTAAGTCTCTTGGCCCCTAATGATAACTGTCCCTGTTCACCACTGCTAGTCTGGATTTATTCTCATTTTCATCTACCTACTGTTGTTTCAGTGAGATTGGGAAGAGAACAGAAAGTAAATGAGTGGACTCCTGAAGCAGAAGTTATAAATGTATTCTGTGATTCTGCAATTCCATTTATGCAGATAGATCCTGTGGCAAATAGTATTTTTCAACTATCTTCCAGAAATCCCTCTAAGTTTCTTGGCCACTAATGATAACTGTCCCTGTTCTCCCCTGCTACTCTGGATTTATTCTCATTTTTATATATCTACTGCTATTTCAGTGGGATTGGGAAGAGAACAAAAAGGAAATGAGTGGGCTCAGAAGTTATAAATGTGTGTATTCTGTGATCCAGCAATTTCATTTCTAGGGACAGATCCTGTGGCAAATGGTATTTTTCAAATGTGGCCAAAGCAATCTCTCCCATTCCACATGCTGCAATGTAACCTTGCCAGCCCCCCATCAAGGGGAATTAGACTTTACTCCTTATATCCTGGAAAATAGTCACTGACTGATTTTTAACCAATGCAGAGTGAGGTAATACACCTTTTTTGAACTATAGAATGGTTTCTTTACATAGTTCTTTTAAAACCTTTAAAGGAAAGTAGCAATGTTCCATTTTCAAGGCTGCTCCCACCATTTAAACACCCAAATTTTATTTCTGCAGAACCGATTCTTCAGTGGGCTCCTGGGGTTGAGATTCCAGCAAGTGAGATGGGTAAAATATATCCACATGTGGTAGATCTCAAAGTGACAAAATGCCCCTGTGCCAATGACGTGGCATTACTGGGCTTCGTTATGGATGCACTACTTGATGGTAGGTTTACAGCTTCATTAAATGTTGATGTTGGCATTTGTATTTTATAACAGTAATGTTTAACTGGCAGCAGAAATAAATGCATAGACATAGGGAAGGAAAATTGTTTCCTAAAAATATCTAAAAATTTATTCTTCAATACTGTGTGTTGTCTGCTTGCAAGTGTGATATACTAAGTATGTTTTCTTGCTGTGACTTTTTGTCATGTTAATTGTGACTTTAGTGTGTCTCCTAATTTCCTTTATGCCATGCCCTCCATTAATATGTTACTTTCTCCCAGAGATTATCTGCTATTCCTGCCATGTATAAATAGGTATTGTTGTTCCTGAAATACCACATTACTTTGTTTATGTTTGCATTTTTTTCATTACTACTGTAATATCTGAGAGCATCTATATAGGGAAAGAAATAACTGTTTTTCTCTATATTCATTTCATAACCCTCTACTACCAAATGTATGGATTTTCCACACCAAGTGATTCTCCAGTTCTCTGTGGATGACCGAGTAGGTGCCCTATGGTTTAATTCAATTCCGGCACTAGCTATCTGGAGTTAGCACAGACCCTCCTCCCTAACCAACAACAGATTAAGGGCTCAGTTCCCCAAGACTGTCCCCCAATTCAAATGCCAGTTACAAGTCCTAGGCTGTAGTTCCAATCAACTAATTATAATTTGGGGAGGTCCCACAACCCCTTCCTTGAGTTCAATAATTTGCTAGCACAACCCATAGAACTCAGGGGAACATTTATTTAGGTTTGCCAGTTTATTATAAAGGACAAAACAAAGGATACAGTAAACAGTTGGGCAAGGTCCGAAAGATTCCCAAGTAAAGGAGCTTCTGTCCCCGTGGAGTTGTGACATGCCACACCCCTGGTTTGTAGATGTGTTTTAGCATTCCAAAACCTGCACTGTAAGGATTTTTATGGAGGCTTTATCACATAGACATGATCAATTATTTATTCAATCTCCAGCCCCTCCCCACTTCCTGGGAGATACACTGAGGGGCTGAAGGCTCCAAGCTTCTAATCGTGGCTTGCTTTTTCTGGCAACCACCCCACATCTTAAAGCTATCTGGGGGTCTGTCAAGAGTTGCTTCATTAGAACAAAAGACAATCACATCACCCAGGAAATTCCAAGGAGTTTAGGGGTTCTGTATCAGGAACTGGGGCCGGAGACCAAATATTTGAACAAAGGATGTTCCTAGCACTCCATCATGCAGGAAATTGTGGGGGTTTTAGGAGTTCTCTATCAGGAGCCAAGGAAAACCAAATATGTATTTCTCATTATATCACAATATTATAATGTCATTACACATTTCAACTACTAATAGTATTATTCTAATTATTGTTCCTAGCTAATTGATGACCTCCTAGACCCCAAATTCAGTGAATATAAAGAAAAATAAATACATATAAAAATTAAACAATAAGAAACAAAATGTTATTACTTATAGATAATATGTATACCTACATAAAAATCCAAAAAGATCTATAGAAAAACTCAGAACAAATATGGGCATGCTGGAAGGTTGTGAGATAGAATAACAATGTATAAAAATCACTCCACCAAGGACTAATTAAAGATCACAATTTAAAAAATCCTATTAAGGTAAGAAATCCCAAAAAGTACCCAGGAATAAAAAAAGGAGTTGCAAGGCCTATTGTGTAGAAACTATAAAACTAATGAAGGTCAATAAAAAAGACCAAAATAAATAAGAGATTTCATGTTTATAAGCAGGAACTTCTGGTATTATAAAGATTTATTTTATAAATAAATTTATTACAAATAAAATTTATTACAAATTTATCAATCAATTCAATATGATTCCAAGAAAAATTATAACAATGTTTTTGGTTTGTGTGTGTGTGTGTGTGTATGTGTGTAAAAATTGGCAAGCCAAACACAAAATTCATATGGGAGAATGATACACCATGAATAGCAAACATAATTTTAGAGAAAATAAAAAGAACAAAAATTTGTCCTAGCATGACTTATTATAAAGTAACAGATTAAAACAGTATGCATCAGTATAGGGATAGACAAATAATCTTGCCCAAATCTCTTTGACTTCCTAATGGCTTACAGTCTGCTTCTGCTGAATTCCTTTAGTTTTACTAGGTTGGTGCAAAAGTAATTGAGGTTTTTGCAATTACTTTTAATGGCAACAACCATGATTACTTTTGCACCAACCTAATAAATGTGTCTTTTTCCACTCTCTGCTGTCATATGCTACACTATGTCAATTCAGATAGAAACTTGGCTCCTTTTCTTATCTTGTTCTGTGAATAGGAGGTCCTAGCCAGGACCTCCTCCTCCTCTTTATCCAAACACCAATACTTACCTTACTTCCGTGAGCCACAGGAGAGGGGTCATTCTCAACTCCTCATGCTTGATTCTGCCTTACAAATGAAAGTTATGGGAGAGAAGCAGCAGTCTTAATTCCTTGGGATCACACTCATGAGGCCACCTCAACCACTCAAGAAAACAAACAACTTCAGCAACAGGTTCTTTAGGTGAAACCACCTTTTCCCCAACTGGTCACCACTGTGCTGAAGCAAAAAAGGAAGTTCTCACAGTATCAAGCTGTGACTGCCTAAACCAGCAATCCTTTTTTTCTTTTTCTTTTTCTTTTTTTTTTTTTTTTTTTTTTGTGAGACAGGGTCTCTCTCTGTTGCCCAGGCTGGAATGCAGAGGCACAATCACGGCTCACTACAGCCTCAACCTCCTAGGCTCAAGCAATCCTCCCACCTCAGCCTCCCACGTAGCTGGGATTACAGGTGCACACCACCACACCCAACTAGCAATTCCTTTGTGAGGCCTTGTTTGTCCTCCTGGCCTTCATACCACATGGAGTTAATGGTGGGAACAGCTATGCAGTAGCCCCATGTACTCCAGTTTGGACTTATTACCCCCTTTCCTCCTCTAGGATATTCTTCAGATATAAACATCAGGTCTCCCATCAGTTACCAGAAACATAAACCTCCCTAGATCGTTTCTGGTTATCCTATCCCACATACTGTTCTGATCATCCTCTAATTTGATTCAAACTTTTATCCCTCTCTATCCACCCAAATCCTTTCATTAGAATTTGTGGCCTGTCATTAACAAACTCCCCCATATCACTCACTTTTTTTCTGAATGGTCCCTTAACTTTCTTTCCATAGAGTGCCTGGTCATCCCCAGATGACATTCTTTCCCCTCAGCCCTCCCACATATCACATATCTCAAAACCCAGGTGGGAGTTGTTGTCTTTGCTCCTTAGGATTACTGCTTAATCATTACTCCTTTCATCTTGTTTGAAACATGGAACTTTTTTGAACTCAGACTTTACCTCCCTCTAACTCTTCTTGGTTGCCAGCATTTGGTGACCTCCTCACCACTCACAGTCATTCATTTACAAGTTTAACCTCTGGGTCCCTGCCTTCCTCTCCACTTGACTTTCATCACTATTTTTGGTGACTTCACCATCCATAATGGATGACCCACACAGTAAAAAGTACCCAGCTTCAAGGCTTCTTTTCGTACAATGATCTTTCCCCTATCTTACTCCTATGGTAGTATTCTTCTTAAAATTTTTTATTTAATAATTTTAACTTTTATTTTAGATTCGAGGGGAAGTACATCACCCTGATACCAAAACCTGGCAAAGACACAACAAAAAAAGAAAACTAGAAGCCAATATTTTGATGAACATAGACAGAAAAATTCTTGACAAAATAGTAGCAAATAGAATCCAGCAGCATATTACTATGCAGCCATAAAAAAAGAGTGAGTTCATGTCTTTTGCAGGGACATGGATAAAGCTGGAAACCATCATTCTCAGCAGACTAACACAGGAACAGAAAACCAAACATCACTGGTTCTCACTCATAAGTGGGAGTTGAACAATGAGAACCTATGGGCATAGTGAGGGGAACATCACACATCAGGGCCTGTCGGGGGATGGGGGCAAGAGGAGGGATAGCATTAGGAGAAATATCTAATGTAGATGACGGGTTGATAGGTGCAGCAAACCACCATGGCACATATACACCTATGTAACAAACCTGCACGTTCTGCACATGTATACCAGGACTTAAAGTATAATAAATAAATATTATTAAAATAAATAAATAAATAAAATTTAAAAAATAAAAATAAAAATAAAAAGTTAATTCAAAGCTGGGCACAGTGACTCAAACCTGTAATCCCAGCACTTTCGGGAGGCTGAGGTGGGCAAATCACCTGAGGTCAGGAGTTCGAGACCAGCCTGGTCAACATGGTGAAATCCCATCTCTACTAAAATATAAAAATTAGTAAGGCGTGGTAGCAAGTGCCTGCAATCCCAACTACTTGGGAGGCTGAGGCAGGAGAATCTCTTGAACCCGGGGGGTGGAGGGTGCAGTGAGCTGAGACCGCGCCATTGCACTCCAGCCTGGGTGATAAGAGCAAAACTCCATCTAAAAAAAAAAAAAAGTTAATTCATCACGATCAAGTTGGATTCTCCAGATCTCATCCAAATGAGATACATGAAAGTAACAGAAAGTTTGCAACTCTTTTTGCTTAGGAATACTTTAGCTATTTGCGCTCTTTTTTGGTTTTGTATGAATTTTAGGATTTTTTTTCTAATTCTGTGAAAAATGGTGTTGCTGAGGTGGGCAACATCAACCTCGAGGTCAGGATTCTGAGACCACCTGGTCAACCCATGGTGACAATCCCATCCTCTACTAAAACATAAAAACTACGTAAGCGCGTGTCCGCAAGTGCCTGCAATCCCCAACTACTTGGAGGCTGAGCAGAGAGACATCCCTTGCACCCCGGGGGCGTGGAGGTCGGAGCTGAGACCGCGCCCTTGCACA